AGTGCAGAGGGAGACTTAATTCCCGGCAGTATCCCGTGCCCCCGGCTCGGCTTCCAAATAAAGGAGACTACTCCACTTCATTAGCCGGTCTATGCAGAGTCTCTGCAAGCCAGCTGTTTTCCCTCTCACTTCCACAACATCTCCAGTAACTATTTCCCATGCATAGGGAATCCGGCTGAAGCAAGGCGGGAGGAGGACATGCAAGCTTAGCAAGGCCTTGAAGGGATGAGGCGGGAGAGGAAGAGCATCAGATGACCGCACGCTCGGATGCCATGGCAGGCAGAATCAGTAACAGTCTTAAGTTCTTACAGGGTGGGAAGATGATCACTATGAAGGAAAGAAAGCATGCCATTTTGAAGCAGCAGCAATCCCAATACTCATCTGCAGGCCCTCAACAGGGGAAGAGGGAGACAGACACAAGTCCCACAAACCAGACTCCCCTGACTGGGCAAAAGGCCTGTGGTCACCTCACAAGCACCAAGAGGGCTTACTAATGTTAGCCTGACACAGTGGATCCACATCTTGGTGAGTGCAAAGCCAAAATAAACACAGCCAAGGTACGAAAGAGCAGACAAAAACACACTGCCTGTTAGCAGGCAAGGAGAGCAGAGGAGTCATTCCGAAAGCCACACCCTCCCAAACCAAAGAAGCTCAGGATTTTGTTGTGAAGGGGCAATATATAGACATACAGGGGCCAGCCCTTTCTTGAGTGCTCAGTTTAAAATAAAAAATTCTTTTAAATAAAAAGAGTACACAAACATTTGGAGGCATGCTTAGCTCAAAGTCATGGCGTACATATGAATAAAGTTAAAATGACAGACAGAGATGCCTCTGGGCATGCGTAGCTTGCACCACAAAGTGCCCCAGGCCTTACCACAGTTGGCGTCATGGTGGAAGTACCATTCAGGTGGCGGAACCCATCATGTGGGCAGCAACGCCTTCCAGAAGGCAGAAGTCCATGGTTCTGGGAAAGTCTCTGAATGGACTAACCTTGCGTTTGTCTTCTGTAGTTCTGCTGCTGGCTTACCTGCTCTTGTTAACAGAAGTGTGTCAACCCAGGATATAGGTTTTGTGCTTTAAAGCTTACCCTGAGAAAGGTTGAGGGCTACATCGGGATCTGAACACACAGCATAGTTGCTGGTCGGCTAATAAAAACTTCCTATTGGTTTATAATGGTGTCCAAGTCATCTCTGGTGGACTCTCCACAACAGTCTCAAAGTACTTTGGGCAACTGATTTTACGTTTTGAAATTATATCACTTCCCCACTTCTCCAACCCCTTCCATGGATTCCTCTGCCTCAAACTTCATGGCCTCTCTTTAATTGCGAGTATATGTGTATATATATACCTAAATATATAAACATAACTTGCTCAGTTCATAGATGTTACTTTTTATTCCTATGATTTCAGGGCTGACCACTTGACTAAGCAATCTGGGAAGCTCTTCCTAATCGCAGCATTCCTCCGTTACCAGTAGTTCTTTGTCTAGGGCTGGGGCCCCATAAGACTTTCCCCTTCCGTGTTAGCATGTCTATTGGTGTTGTCCTTAACAGGTCTTGTTTTGGCAGCCAGGTGTTGATGAGACTTCATGAGTGTAGCTTCTCTGGCATGTCTAGGAGGCATGGTCTCACTAACACTCTGGCCCTCTGGCTCTCACAGTCTTCCCCTCTCTGATTCCATGAGGACCCCTGAGCCTCAGGCACAAGAGTTGTGTGCATCTATCTGTTGGAGCCAGGCACCACACAATCTCTTCTCTGCATTTTGGTCAGGTGGGGTTTTTTGTAATGGCCTATTGCAAAGAGAAGGTTCCTTGATGAGGAGTGATAACTGCACTTATCGGTGGGCATAAGAATAAGTATTTGCAAGATAGCTAGGGATTGTGGTGGTTATGGACTCTGCTCCAAACTCCATGCCTTTTCTAGCCCCAGATTGTTGGCTAGGTTTCCAGGACCAGGCATGGGCCTTAAGTTCAAGTACAGCACTTTTGGTTACCATCGAGGTATGTGTGCATCCTCCGGGTTACCATGCCACACTGGTCATTGTTGTGGTTTATAGGTGTAATAGCTAGGTAGGACTATTGACTGCTTCCCTTCCTTGGAAAATTGCCTGCTTGGTATTTTCAGGTCATAGCCCACGCCCTCTGGGTCTGAAGCATCTTCAGCAATGGGGGCTTACCTCCTACCTCTGAGGGACAAACGAGGACAACAGCAATAATATGTAACGTTTGGGGAGTCTCTTAGAGAGCCTTGATAAAAAACTCACATGTTGTAGTTTCTGTTTAAAACTGTGGGTTCAGCGGGAGCACTGTCAGCCCATATCATAAAATTCTGTTAGGAATAAATGATGGTCTGAATGTACATTAAGCGGGAGTCTGCCCCTGAAGATGCTCTTAGTCATTAATACCACAATGAGATCAAAACTAAAAGGGAACTGGTTCTCCAGAACACAGTCCAAGTCAAGTCATCCATCTAGTTACTCATAATACTTGCTGTGTGCACAGTCGGGCCCAATGTGTCACCTGAGATGGAGCACACCATTCAGTTAACTTTCTACCTCCTATGTACGATAGACCATGTGCAACTGGGGCAAAATTACATAGACATGATAACAGCTGCACGCAGCTCAGGAAGAGAAGGAGGCAAGAGTAAGTGACTGGAATTCAAGGTAAGGGTCTAATGACTTTGCCAACACTTCCTTCTACAAGAGACTATCAACAGGCCCCATCTTATGCAGATGTTGTGTGGATGGTAAGAGCTGCTCTGACTAGCGTGGTAACAGTCATGCTATACTCGCAGGACAGAATTCCCCCAACAACATACACGCAAGTGTTCCTAGCATAGGCCCTGAACCCTGAACCCAGCTAGGTGCATCTGGACAGAGTACTCCTGATGGGGAAAGCTACCAGACTAGGACACGAGGCAAATTCTGGGAGAGGTAGGCACAGAGCGCCCACCAGAAACAGTTGTCATGTAGGCTGTGAAAGGAGTAACATGTCCGGACCCTTCTCCTGTAAGACCACGTGGAAATACATAGATTAATAGAAATAGTTTAATAATTAAGACAGAACTAGCCAATAAGAAGCCCAAGCTACCGGCCAACACTTTTATAACTAATATAGCATCCGTGTGTTCATTTGGGGCTGAAGGGCAGCAGGACCAGGCAAGAAAAACTGCCAAAACATACTCCCAAGGTCCTAGGTATCCAGGAAGAATTTTTTAAAGGAAAGGGAAAGAGATCCTGGGCATACAAACTCTTTTACCCATAGGAAGATGCAGGGGCAACCTCCTGAGTTAGGTGCCTCTTGGAATACTTCACTTTAATCCCATTGGCCCCAGAACTCAGACATCCTCTGCCACTGAAATGTGAGCTTTTATGGTATCCCATCTCCTCCTTCCAAGTAAAGATGTTAGAGAGGGTAAGAGACCTATGATCCAAGATCTACTCCTTACAAACTCTTGGCCCTGTATGGTAACTGACTAGGTCAGTTACCAGGCAGACAAAGCTAAGGCAACTGCCAACTCCATCCCGTGGTGCTGGAACTCAGGGCATGTTAAAGTGCAGGACAAACAGGAAGCTGGTTTCCTAGTGGAGAGCTGTGGAGGGGAACATAGGTGAAACAGATCCTGGTCTGTGGAAATGATCACAGAGCCCCAGAGCCTATTCCAGGAATAAGACTATACCCACCTAAAAGGCCAGCTGAGAAATTCTATGCCAAGGCACCAAGCACATAGAAGGACCCCAAAAGTTATTGGTAATGGTGACCATTCCCAGATACCTATAGCCCTTACTCTAATTCTACCCTCCTTTTTTTGAGTCCAGACTTGTGGCCTTCTCCCATACCTCTTGCCTCTCCAGCCACTTCTAGGCCCTTACCCCCAGGCCCAGTGACCTGCTCTTGTCTCTGTCATTGACTCTATCAGTCCCAGAGAGCCTGTATTGTACTTTGTCAATATTACCCAAGTTTGGAGCCTTGATATTTTCAATGACTTCATGTCTGGTGAGGTATCCGGGACTGTGGAGCCATAAACACTATCTGCCTGACCTCCTAAAGCTTCTGCAAGCTGATGGGGGAGCCTGGGGAGCACTAGTTCCTGCTCTGCTCCAGCTTCAGCTCCAGGAGCTGAAATGACCTGTGGGATATCGTTTGCTAACAGATGCATGTAAATTCATTGAGGCCCCTCCACATCAGTTTGGCTCATCAAAAAGAGCCCATCTCCAGGAAGGTGGAGCTTGCCGATAGATAATCTAGCCCACTGAGCCTAACTATGCTCAGCATAGTCCACCACCTCTCACAGAGCTGACGATACCAAGGAGGCAATCAAATAACTTTGATAGTCAAAAGTCTTACCAGCAAGTGTGTCCCCCCACCCTGGAAATTTCTTTCTGGTTATTTCCCAGTTCCATTCAAAAAGTAAATGCAGCATCCTACTGAAAAGGGCAGGGAAGGCACGCATAAACAGACTCACAACCTCAGAAAGCATCATTTTGATTGGTGCCCAGATGATCCCTCTTCCTAAGTGTCAGCACACTTGGCGGGAAATGGCAGGCATCTGGAAACAGGCTTGGGGCTCATGGACCCTCTTTACTAGTAGACTCAGGCAGCTCCAACAGGTCATGTGGGGGAAGAAAGTCTTTCTTTGTGCAGAATGGGCCAGGATTTGGGTAGACCCCCCTACAAATGAACCCCTAAAACTAAAGAACAAACTGCCCGAACAGCCAGTCCTACACCAAAAGGGGCACTGCTGGACTGAGGGTACCTCCTTCCTCCCTGGGCTGGCTCATCCCTGGATGTCAAGAGGAACGAGACTGGCAGGGAAATGCTTGGCCACAAAGACTAAAGCACTGCTGAGAGTCAAGTAGGCCACACCCATCAAGCTCTTGGTCATGCCCAAGGCTGCATGTTCAAGTGGATGTGAGTCATCCTCTCTCCCTTTTGCCCACTAAGCGGTCACTCCAGCCTAGGCATTTGTAGTAATTTTGGGGTGATTTTCTGTTTGCAGAGATAAAGTCTTGCTCTGTATCACAAGCTGGCCTCTCCAGGCCTGAGATGACAGGTATGTGTCATCACACCTGGCTGTCACAGGTATGATGGGACCCGTGTCTTATGCTGAACTCAGGGATGGGGCAAGGACAGGGTCACAGATTACACCTGATGGGCTCTCCATACTCTGGACACCTCAAAGCTCTCCAATGAGGGCTCAAAACATGAACTAGCATCTAGAATAAGGGCAAATGGTGTGAGAGAGAGAGAATGGTATGTTTCCCCAGCTCCATTCCATTCATATGCCTTTTTCTATGCCACCAGGACACACATACCCCTAGAAACCCCAACTCATCCCTACCCACAACCTGTGTTCACATTTCTAACCATAGAGTCATCTCACTAGCTCCATCAGAAAACATCCACACCCAACATACTCAAGACTCAATCTAATGATTGTTGTTTGTTTTAAGGATCTTTATTTAAGTGCCTGTGGTGTTGAAGTTTCATCAGGATTTGGAAGGTCACTGTCGTGCCGCTCTTGCCAAAGTCAAGTGATGAGAGGGTGGCAGCCGGATCCGTGGTGTTCACGCATAAGGCAGGAGCATCCAGCTTTTCTAGAGGGTTCAACTGCAGTCCTGGGACCCCCGAACGGGAGGTGGCAGTCACAGCTCCAAGGCTGAGAGGGGGGGTGGCCAGCTTCCTAGAGTCACCACTGTGCTGTGAGTGCATGCTGAGGGGAGGCAGCCATCTGCCCTGCTTCTAGCCCCACCCCTCTGGCCAACCGAGCAGATGGTTGAGAGAAGTCAGCTCAGGCGCAGAGATAAAGGGGACCCAGGAGAACGGCACACCCCATGATGAGTTAGGCTTGCAAAGCACCAGTGCCCAGCCAGGCTCCGGAGCCAGGGTGGCCCTTTCCACCTGCCGCCACCACAACCCCAGTCAGGAACTGGAGAGCCTGATGGTGTGGTGGATCTGGCCAACATGGGGGTTTTCATCCAAAGCAATAGAGAAGGGCATCGAACAGACATGTGCACACACCCAAGGAAGGAAACAAGGCAAAATCAGCAGCCACCTTCCCAGACACACTACACCCCTGGGTCCCCAAGGCACTGCGATTAGATTTGCACAGCACACCAGCCACAGCAATAGGTGAGGAGGCCCAGTGGGAGGCCTTCAGTAACCTGAGCAGTTAGTCCAGGGCCTATTTCCTCTGGGCATCCCTGGGTACCCAGCTCCCAGGCTAGGTGTGAGGGGCCCAGGAGGGCTTCCAGTCCAGTCTAGTCCAGCCTAGCCTGGGCTGACTGCCAACAGAGTCCCTGACTGTCCTGTCTCCTTCTTTTTCAGCCAACCAAACTACCATTCATTTAAATTACCACAGTGATTTCTTAACATTATATTCCTAAGACAGACAACACAGCACTGGGGTGGGACAGAGAAACTTTTTACAGCACGCGCGCGCGCACACACACATACACACACACACACACACACACACACACATCACCAAAAGCTACCTGGCACTTTGCACTCCCATGAGAATAGAAACAGGTGTACACAACCATACACACACTCACCCATGTGCTCTGATCCCTGAAAAGTTGAAATTTGTTTGTGGAGTAGCCATTCCTGTTTATGCTAAGCCTCTTGGAGTGGAGTGCGGTGGGGTGGGGGAGGACGGGGAACTTGTATGTCCACTCTGAGATGTCACACAGTTATCCCCAGATAAAGCCAGACCTGATAAAGATAGAAAGACTTGAAAGAACAAAATGTCAGGATTCTGCTAGGTACATCTGAAGGTTCTTCAGGCTTTTGAGGGGTCTGTGTGTGTGTGTGTGTGTGTGTGTGTGTGTGTGTGTGTGTGTGTGTGTGGTGTTGGTAAATGTGGAACGTGTTTAGGGGCCAGAAATGAACTTTGGCCACTGTTCCTCTGGAGTCCTCCACTGGTTTTGTGACCAGGTGTCTTCACTGGAACTCACTGGGCTAGGCTGGCTGAGAAGTCAAACCCAGGGATGCACCTCTCTCCCCAGAGCTGGGTTAGAGGTGTGGGCCATCACACTAGTTTTGTTTAAATATGAGCTCTAGGGACAAAACCCATGTCCTCTGCTTACAAGGTAATCAGGTTATGAGCTAAGCTATCTCCCCAGCCTGGTTTTTTTTTTTAAATTATTGATCCTCCTTCTACAGTTGTTCTAGAAAGATGCTTTGAAATCAGTGTTCCCATCTTTGCCTCTTAGGAAGGTAGAAAACCCCTCAAGGAAGGAGGGCATCTCAAAGAGTAGCCGAGGTGACTCGCATCTGGAGACTGGGGACAAGTTTGATGATGACATTCCAAACAGATGCTGGCACACAGAGGGGAGCCAGAGTTTCATAAATAACGTTGGTTTTGGTTTCAACACCTCAGGTGAGAGACGGTGCCCAGACCTCTATATCCCAGGCTGTCGTCGACCAGCTTCCCCCAGGAAGGATGCTGACAATCCCGAATGGCTTTACCTGAAAGGAGGAGGAGGAGGAGAATCATCACATCAGCAGAGCAGTGAAGCCACATGACTCCTCCCCAAAGCCTCTACCCCTTGATCCACACTGTCACTCTCTGTCCTTTCCCTACTCCTGCCGTCTGGGCAGTTATCTTCATCACCTTTGTCAATGGTACCCTCTGTAGCCCTGAACATGTCCCTCAACCCTGGGGGCTGTCTGAAAGGCGTGTTCCACTCTCCCAACTAACTCTCTCTTTCCGCTCTCACGACTCCTAGGAACCCTCCCTCCACACACAGTGCCCACAACCCTTAGAACACAAGCTGTTTTCTCCTGAAATCCCTCCTCCTAGCCCTCCTACAGGTGTCCTCTTTAAAATTTACCCAAGAGCAACAGTTTTAAAGTATGTAGATCCTGTCAACTATGAACCCTGTTGTCATGACAAAAAAAAAAAAGCAGAGACACTACAGAATGCCTGGTGATGGCTGTGTTCCAATAAAACTTTATTTATGGGCTCTGAAATCTGAATTACATTCGACTGCTATGTATCCTGAAACAGAATTCTTCCTTCTGATTCCTTTTCAAACACAGAAATGTAGGAATCGGAGCTGGGCATGTTGGCACAGACCTAGAATCCCCCAATTTGGGAGGCAGAGGCAAGAAGACAGTGAGCCCTGGGTGCACACAGGACAAGTAGAACCCATACTCGGTCTGTGAAGGGTTAACGGTCTGGGATCCACAATGTCTCCCCCCTCAGGCTGAGTTAGAAGGATCAGCAGCTGTTGGGAGACAGCAGAACCTTCAGGGGTGAGGCCCAACAGGAGGCCTCCAGGCCACTGGGGACACAGGAATTATGGGATTCCAATCCCTCCCTCCCTACTGTTCCCTGGCTCACAAGTGTGGTAAGAGGTTTTGTGCTACCACACCTGCCAAGAGCATGCTGCCTCACCACAAGGCAAACTGTGGGCTGAAACCTCCCACTCTGAGCCAAAAGAAACCTTCAAGTTGTCGTCTTGGTCTTGGGTACTTTGTTACAGTAACATAACCCATGAGTCCAACACTGGCCTGTGTAAGCACATGAGCAGCGTCTGTCTCCTGCTCAGACTGGGCATTTGAACAGGCAGGACCCGTGTGTGAGCATGCTCATCTTCAAACTGCAGCTCTAACACGGTGAGGACAGCAACGGGGATACGAGAAAGATTTTTACCATGAGGAGAAGCTCACACACTGTGTCAAAGGAGCGTGGGAAGTGGGGGACAGACCCATCAAAGTCGCTCCTCCATCAGCATTGGATTATGGACCCTGCACAACTATCCGTGAAAAACAAAAGCTTATCAGAATTTAAAGTTTCAGAGACCAAACAAAGAATCAGGCTAACCTACAGAGCAATCTCCACAGCTATATCACAAATGACAGCCTGTGACGGTGGCCTGCTGACCCCAGTCAGAGCTGGCGGACAGGGACAGGGAACACCCAGCATGTGGCGCTGTGGCCTGCCTGGGTGCTCAAGTGCAGTTGCCAGGTGACCCCTCATCTCACAAGGGTCCCTGCATGGAACCTCTGCCAGGTCCTGTCATCCTATGAGCTGCTTACACACCCAAGCCCCGTAGCTGTAGAAATCAGCCACAGGCAGGCACGGGAGAGCTGCAGAGCCAATGGAAACCCCAGCTCTCCTGAGAGGCTTCTCCTTTCACAGAAGTAAACCCTGGGGTCATGCAGCAGGCAGAGGAGCCTCCAGAACCCAACTATCCCCAAGCTCCTTATGAAGGAAAAGCAGCCATAAGACATTGCCACTGGGAAGGTACTAACATCTTCGTCTAAGAAGCCCTGAGTTCAGACCTCAACTTTGAATAGGGGGTGGCAGGGGTGTGGGGATCAACTCTGCTTCCACTTCAGCCTGCTCACTCCCCAGGGGTCTGACAGCTCTGGAGAACAGAGCAGGCACAGTCTCCTATGCCATGGCCATGTCACTGGTACCTAACACTCCTATAGGAAGCTCCAGCCGCAAAGCGGGGAGGGGCGCGCAAGCCCGCTAAGAATACTGGTCCACACCCTGGAGGAGCCGCACTGTATCCACACACAGGAAAGCCCATCTGAGCAGGAGGCAGGGCTGGCAGGGACAGCAGCAGACTAGTACCTTGGGAGGCTTTTCCCAGCAGTTGGGTACCTTGGGCTGCACTCAACAAAGCTGCCAGGCTGCCTGACATACAACCAGAAGAGCTCATGTGTGCCTGTCCTCCAGGGATGCCTAGAAGGTGTAACAAAAGTCTCCCCTAATAAACTAGGGATTTGCAGAGACCCAAAACACTGACTGCAACTGTGCACCCTGCTAACCAAGCACAAAACACAAGTGAAATCCAAATGCCTCCTGAAATGTAGAGCCGTTCCAAAAATGCCAGGGCTCTTTCCTCCATTTAGTTATTTTTCCCTCCCCCTAATCAAAGCATCCCAGCTGTATGAAACATACAAAGGAGGCCGCTGAGTGTGGCTCAGTGGTGGGGTGCTTGGCTAGAATGCATGAGAACCTTAGGTTTGATACCCAGCACTGGGGTGGGGATGCTATACACATGCCTCCCTAGCCTGCAACCTCTTTTCCACTTGGAAGAAAACAAACCTGACTGGTCCACACGGGCTCCAGGTCATGAGACGTGATCAGAAAGTTCCACACACAAGCAAGAAGCATCCGACCCACCTCACTACCCTGGTGCCAAACACATGGTGCTCCTCTCCATGCCACCATAAAATAGCCCAAAGCCATGATTCATCCTCATCCGGTTTCAATGTGTGTGCTTCCAGGGGAGAATCAGAAACATTTGTGGACAGGAAAAACAAGTCTCTGCAAACAGGTCATCAGTGTGCAGACAAGTCCTCAAAAACACTATGTGAAACACAGAAGTGACCTTAAAAACCCTCATTCTTTCACACCTATTGACATGAAAAGCTGTTCACAATATGCCGGGGGGGGGGGGGGGGAGGTGCCCCAAATCAGCCTTTGTAACATGGGCCTGTTTCAAAAAGGAAAAGAAAACCCCACAGAGGTGTACTCACACACACTCATGGCTGCTTCAAAGTGGTGAGATGCCAGTGAACTTGTTTCCCCCACTTCTCATCTGCAGTTGCTATAAACCTGCACATTAGGAAAAGCTACTTTGACGCCCAGCGGTCAGTCTTCTCTGGACTGGTGTGACCACGTGCCTGACTGACTGACCTCAAGCCCATTCACATCCTCATTCCACTTCAACCACAAACAGCGCAGCAGCTCACATGGGAAGCTCCCTGAAGTTCATTCAGTTCTTTAGGATGGGGGGGGGGGGTGCGGGGGCAGGACCTGGCAACAGTCCTGAATGTCTACGGGAGGCTCTAATACAGGCTGCCACAGAACAAACGCCAATTCCAGCTGGGAAGTTTGACAATGACTGAATGGGTTGCACATTCAGTGGAAAAAGCAGCAGAAATAGAATTCACTCAAAGAAAGCTGAGGGACGGTGTACTGTCTGGTTTTGTGTGTCAACTTGACACAAGCTAGAGTCATCAGAGACAGGAGCCTCAGCTGAGGAAACGTCTCCATGAGATCCAGCTGTAAGGTATTTTCTCAATTAGTGATCATCGAGGGAGGGCCCAGCCCATGGTGGGTGCTGCCATGCCTGGGCTGGTGGTCCTGGGTTCTACAAGAAAGCAGACTGAGTAAGCCATGTGAAGCAAGCCAGTGAGCAGCCCCCTCCATGGCCTCTGCATCAGCTCCTGACTCCAGAATCCTGCCCTGTTTTCAGTTCCTGCCCTGGCTTCCTTCAGTGATGAACACCAATGCAGAAGTGCAAGCCAAATAAACCACTTTCCTCCTGAAGTTGCTTTTTGGTCATAGTGTTTTTTCACAGCACTAGAACCCTGACTAGGACAGATGGGATGCAGACACCGAATGAAATCTGATAATGACAGAGGGTATCCAAGAAGCCTCAGGATGAGTCCACATGTAGAGTGGTAAAAATAAAATGTACGTCCTGCAAGACTGAGCAAGGGGAAAATGAAAAAAATAGCATTAAATATTCAAAAGAGCCAGGCATGGCGGCATACACATTTAATCCCAGCATTTGGGAGGCAGATGCAGGCAGATCTCTAAGTTTGAGACCAGCCTGGTCTACATGTCGAGTTCCAGGCCAGCCAAGGCTACACAAAGACCCTGTCTTTGTTTGTTTGTTGTTTATTTTTTATTTTTAAATTTAAATTAGAAACAAGGTTGCTTCACATGTCAATCCCAGGTCCCTCTCCCTTTCCCTTCCCTCCTCCCGTGCCCTCCCACCAACCCCCCCACAGTAACCCCTCATTTCCCAGGGAGGGTGAGGCCCTTCTTGGGGGTGTCCATAGTCTGTCATTTCATCCAGGGCAAGGCCTAGACCCTCCACCAAGAGTCCAGGGTGAGAGTGCATCTCTCATTGTAGGATGGGCACCCAAAGTCCATTTGTATGCGAGGGATAAATACTGATCTACTACCCAAGATCCCATAGATTGCCTAGGCCTCCTCACTGATGCCCACATTCAGGGGGTCTTGATCAGTCCCATGCTGGATTCCCAGCCATCAGTCAGCTTGTCAGATCAGCTGTTTCTGGGGGTTAAACCAGCCCAGTCTGAACCCCTTTGTTGATCAGTCCTCCCTCTCTGTCACTGGGTTCCAAACTAAATGGACAGAAACTCAAGGCGATTCCACTAAAATCAGGAACAAGACAAGGTTGTCCACTCTCTCCATACCTTTTCAATATTGTACTTGAAGTTCTACCTAGAGCAATACGACAACAAAAGGAGATCAAGGGGATACAAATTGGAAAGGAAGAGGTCAAACTTTCACTATTTGTAGATGATATGATAGTTTACATAAGTGATCCAAAATACTCTACCAGGGAACTCTTACAGCTGATTAACACCTTCAGCAAAGTGGCAGGATACAATATCAACTCAAGAAAATCAGTATCCCTACTATATACAGATGATAAAAAGGCTGAGAAAGAAATCAGAGAAACATCACCCTTTACAATAGCCACAAACAACAAAAAATACCTTGAGGTAATGCTAACTAAACAAGTGAAAGACCTGTATTGCAAGAACTTTGAGTCTTTAAAGAAAGAAATTAAAGAAGCCCTCAGACAGCGGAAAGATCTCCCATGCTCTTGGATAGATAGGATCAATGTAGTAAAAATGGCAATCCTGACAAAAGCAATCTACAGATTCAATGCAATCCCCATCAAAATACCAGCAAAATTCTTCACCGACCTTGAAAGAACAATAATCAATTTTGTATGGAAAAACAAAAGACCCAGGATAGCCAAAACAACCCTGTTCAACAAGGCAATGTCCGGAGGCATCACCATCTCTGACCTCAAGCTCTAATATAGAGCTGTAGTCCTGAAAACAGCTTGGTATTGGCACAAAAATAGACAGTTAGACCAATAGAATCAAATTGAACACCCTGATATTAACCCATACATGTATGAACATCTGATCTTCGACAAAGAAGCTAAAAGTATACAATGGAAAAAAAGAAAGCATTTTCAACAAATGGTGCTGGCATAACTGGAGGCTGACATGTAGAAGAATACGGATCGATCCATGTTTATCACCATGCACAAAACTTAAGTCCAAATGGATCAAAGACCTCAACATAAATCCAGCCACACTGAACCTCTTAGAAGAGAAAGCGGGAGGTACCCTTGAACGAATTGGTACAGGAGACTGCTTCCTGAACATAACACCAGTAACACAGACACTGAGGTCAACAACTAATACATGGGACCTCCTGAAACTGAGAAGCTTCTGTAAGGCAAAGGACACAGTCAACAAGACAAAAAGGCAGCCCACAGAATGGGAAAAGATATTCACTAACCCCACATCTGACAGAGGGCTGATCTCCAAAATTTACAAAAAAAACTCAAGAAGCAAGTCTCTAAAACACCAAAGGATCCAATTAAAAAGTGGGCTGCAAAACTAAATAGAGAATTTTCAATAGAGGAGTCTAAAATGGCTGACAGGCACTTGAGAAAGTGCTCAACATCCCTAGCCATCAGGGAAATGCAAATCAAAACAACTCTGAGATACCATCTAACTCTCATCAAAATGGCTAAAATCATAAACACCAATGACAGTTTATGCTGGAGAGGATGTGGTGAAAGGGGAACACTCCTCCACTGCTGATGGGAGTGCCAACTTGTACAGCCACTATGGAAATCAGTATGGAGATTCCTCAGAAAAATAGGAATAAGCCTAGCACAAGACCCAGAAATTCCACTCTTAGGCATATCCAAAAGATGCCCATTCATACAACAAGGATGTCTGTTCCACTATGTTCATAGCAGCATTATTTGTAATAGCGAGGACCTGGAAGCAACCTACGTGCCCCTCAAATGAGGAGTAGATAGAAAAAAATTGGTACATTTACACAATGGAGTACTAGTCAGCATAAAAAAAATGGAATCCTGAAATTTGCAGGCAAATTGAAGGCACTAGAGGAAACCATCCTGAATGAGGTAACCCAGTCACAAAAAGACAAACATGGTATGTACTCTCTCATATATGGATTTTAGACATAGATCTGGGGAGTGCCAGCCTACAATCCTACTGCCAGAGAGTCTGGGAAACAAAACCTTCATTCAATGGCTGATGGAAGCAAAGGCAGACTCCCACAGCTAAACACTGAGCTGAAGACCCTGTCTTTTTAAAAAGCAAAGAAAGGCCACGGCTACTCACATTACAAACATTTACAAACTTAAAGAAGAAGAAGAATGTTGGAAACAGCACACAAAAACAGGTTTGTAAACTTTATCAGAAATGGACAAAATGCTCCAAAACTACTTCTGATCAAAACTGACCCAAGAAAAAAATAAAGACCGAATATTCTTGGAACTATTCAAGTAGTGAATGTCACTGATCCTAAAAGTTGCATGCAGACAGCCTGAGGTGCGGCCAGTTTTTAGTATGCTCTACTAAACACTTAGGAAACAAACGGTTCCAATCTGATTTCAGCCAGTCCAGAGAAGGAAAATGAGGAAACACACTACCCTCCTCATTTTATGAGGCCAGCATAGCGTTTACCAGAGCCTGACAGACAAACTAAAAACAGAAAACAATAGGCCAGTCGCCGTCCCCTAGAGGGGAGGAGAAGGAAGTCTTGCACATACAGTACAATGCACACAGAAAGGTAACACATGGCCAAGCTCTCTTAACTCCAGAACAATGATCTGACTGTATATTAGAAACCTAATGAATGTAGATTCACCACCACAATGGGTTAAAGGAAAAAGGTATGACCTGCTCAGCAGAGCTAGAGAAAGGAATAAAATTCAGAGGTAACACACAAAGATAGAGGAAAGCTCCATGTGGCAATCCAACAGCAAACCTCACTCTGTGGTCAAAAATTGAATGCATACCCTTTTAAAGACCAGTAGTAAGACAGCGAAGCTACTACCATCACTTCTGATCCACAAGCACAAGGCAGATAGAGAGCTGACTGGGTCTGGTATGGACTTTTGAAACTTAAAAGCTGACCCGCCCCCCAGTGAGGCACCTCCAGCAAGGCCACACCTCCTCATCCTTCCCAAACAGTTCCACCCACTGAAGACACACATGAGCCTATGAGGGCCATTCTCATTCAAACCAAAGAGACCCACATGGTAGAATGAGAGAACTAACTCCTGCAAAGTGTCATACCACCTCCACATACATGCCACAGCATGTGTGCATATATATGGGAGAGTCCAGCTCACTGTGGGTGGTGCTACCCCTAGGCTGGTGGTCCTGGGTTCTATAAGAAAGCAGGCTAAGCAAGCTATGAGGAGCAAGTCAGTGAGCAGCGCCCCTCCATGGCCTCTGCTTTCGTTCCTGCCCGGACTTCACTGGCTAATGAACTGTACGCTGTAAAATGACATAAACCCTTTCCTCCCCAGGTTGTTTTTGATCGGTGTGTTATCAGAGCACTGGAGACCCTAACTAGGACAGCAACTAAAGGAAGAGAGTTGGTTTGGTTCATGGTTTGAGGGTACAGTCCATCACAGCAGAGAGCAGCTGGCCACACGGCATTCACCGTCAGAAGCAGAGAGGTGCAACACTGGTGCTCGACTCAGCTCCTCCCTTTTACCCAGTCTAGGACCCCCCACCACCAGATGGTGCTGACCACACTCAAGGTAGGTCTCCTTCTCTTGATAGCACTGTCTAGAGACCCCCTCACTGACTCGGCAAGAGATCTGTCTCCATGGAGATTCTGGAGCCTGTCAAGCTAACAGTCAATATTAACCATCACACCTAATATGAAAGATTCTAACAGTGGCTCTGAATCAAGAAAATAAAAACAGGACAGGGGCTGGCAAGATGGCTCAGTGGGTAGAGGCATGTGCTGCTATGTCTGACAAACTGAGTTTGATCCCCAAAATCCACATAACAGGAGGAGGAAATCAACTCCAGAAAGTTACTCTCTGCCTCCAAATATACTCAGTGGCATGTGCCTGTCTGTGTGCAAGCACAATACATGCATGCCTGCACGCATGCACGCATGCATATATACAGCAGTAGTACGAATAATCCACTCCATTAAGGTTCCATATTGCACAATGTGCCACAGGCCTGCGGGAGCACTCAGACCCTTCCTACTGTAAATAGTAATGAAAGTTTGGGAGCACAGTATGGTTATGCACACCGGTAATTCCAACACTCAGGAGGCCGAGGCAAGAGAATCGCCGTGAGTTCTACACAGCAAGTTCCAGGACAGCCCAGGTTATGTGACACTGTCTCAAACATAAAATAAAAATAAAAAATAACAGTGAGGTCTGGCAACATGGCCTGGTAGAAGTAGAGGAGCTTGCTATGCAAGCCTGACGACCTGAGCTTGACCCAGGAAACTAACGTAAGGTATAAGGGGAGAACAAATGCCATAAAGTTGTCCTCTAACCTCCACATACATGTACTGTGGCACATGCACACACACACACACACACACACACACACACACACACACACCTCTCTACACCTTTTGAAGTGGGAATACCTTTTGAAATTACATGATTTTCTCTTTTGTTTCCATGTACTGACTGTGAGATGGGTAAATGGCTTAGCAATAAAACCAATACAATCATTAATAACACTACATATGTATGTATTATTTTGCAGTGTAACTGAATATTACTAGCTGACTTCACTCTTTCCCTGAAAAAATATAGGTCATGGGTTTCTTCCTACTCTGATGTCTAGAATCAGTTTCAATGTGTGATTGTTCTTTATAAAATATAAGTGTGCCAAGTGTGGTGCACACACCTTTAATCCCAGCACTTGGGAGGCAGAGGCAGGAGGATCTCTTGAGTTCAAGGCCATTCTGGTCTACAAAGAAAGTTCTAGGACAGCTGGGTCTACAGAGAGAAACCTCTGTCTGTCTGTCTTGGTTCTCTCTCCCTCATTCTCTCTCTCTTTCTCTCACATACACACACACACAAATAAAATTCAAAAGTGATTCACTAACAAACTCTGTTTCTGAAGCTATATGTCAGAAAGCAACCATGATAATGCAGACTTTTTTTTTAACTTACCAGCCCTGCTCTTCTGGACTCCGGGGTACTGTTACCAAGGCAGTGATGGCAACAGGTCCCACCACAGTAAGAACATCTCAAAGCCTAACACTTAATAAGAGCACAAGGACACTGTGGCTGAACCATCCTACCAGACACAGCCCGGTAGGAAGCCTCTATCTCCAGCACACACCTATACTTGATGTCAAATACTGTGGCGTCCTCATCCTCGTCGTCTTCCTCGTTCAGTGGGGCCATCTCCACGCGCTCAGCAGGAGTGGTGATGATGTCATACTTGCGGGTCTTCTTCAGCCTCTTTCCCAGCCTGGAGGAGGAGAAGCACATTCATGAGGAGACCATGCCTGTGAGAGACGCTGGTGGAGCAGCTTGTGCCGAGACAGGTTCACTCCCTGACATCTGCAGACAAAGCTTGCCACCACCTCCAGACAGGTGCTGCAGCCATACCAAGAAGACTTGGTTAAGGTCCCGGAAGCTGGGGGCTAGAGAGACGCCTAGGGGCACAGCACTTGCTGTGTAAGCATGGAGACCAGAGTTTGACTCTCCAGTGCTTACCCTCAGCTGCAAGAGAAAAGTCAAATGCCAGATGGTTATAATGGCCCTCCTGAAATTTCAGCACTCAGAAGCCAGACACAGAATCCTTGGAACAAGATGGCTAGCTGGACTAGCCCAAGTAAGCTCCCAGTTCAGCAAGAAAGCCTGCCTCACAAACTAGACATTGAGGAAGAACCCACAATGGACATTCATGCAAACACAGACACATACCCCACAGATACATCCATACATACATATACATATACCTACCCCACAGATACACACATACACACACAATACATGTATGTAGTATATAGATATACACACACACACATATACACACACCCCACAGGTACATTCATATACACCCACACACTCCACAGATACACACACACACATATATGTAAACATACCACACAGATACACACACACACACACACACACACACACACACACACACACACACACGGGGGTGGGGGGAGAGACCCAGGTGTCTACAGTGTCCATAGGGTTGAGTTACCAACATCCTAGCCCTTCCTACCTTCCCAAAGCAGAGCTATCTGAGCACCAACAACTCAATAACTGAGAGAAATACAGTTCAAATGTGACAGTTTAAAAAGATAAAATTCATGCAAAGCAATGCACAGTGAACAAAGATCAAATCATTCTCTGGGGAAAGAGAAGGACAGCCTGGCTGGAGGTGCAAGCACTACCCTGTGGGATCTGGGACAAAGCTCAGACACATGCTAGTTAAGTGAGGTTCCCTCACTTTCCTGGTAAGTAAACTGGGATGGGAGCCACCTTCCTCAAAGGTGAGTAGGGATGGTCGCTGAGGCCACGGATGTCCTTAACAAGCCCACATACAGGAGGCTCTCGACATAAGTTAGTTAGAGTTGATAATGACAAATACAGAAATCACACGTGCTCCAGCCTCTCTCCTAAGACTGGGATTTGTGAAAATGAGTCCATGGTGAGGGCTACACTACTACACTGTTCCTGATGGATGATATGGCCGAGGGGCAAGGTGGTCACAGGAAAAGAGGTTTGACAGGAGCCCCCAGCATATGACTCCCTGCATGAGACTGCAATATTCTTCAGGGAGTGTCTGGAAGACGCAGGATGCCACCCAAGGAAAGACCTCTTCCGATGATCACCGATGCCCCCTCAGCCTGCTCCTCTGTGGTCTTGGGTCTGTCCCCAATGCTTTGCATTTTCTGCCAGCCTCCTCTTAAGGATGCGCTCTGTGAAAGCGCAGCCAATCCAAACGTCCTAAGTGGGGCACTGAAGAGCCTTCCTGCAGATGGCGAGCTGTTCCCGAGACCACTTGTCAAAGACACCGGCAGATCTTTTTCCCTCTTGCCAAGAGAAACTCATTCAAGTTCCCAAAAAGCATCAAAACAGAAACTCACTTTTAGGTCCTCTAAAAATGTCTTAGGAACAGCAACATGCTCTTGGCTTACCTACTATGAGTTGCCAAAAATAGGACTTACTAAGCTGTCACGTCATTTACATAGCAAATTTTAGCACATACCTCTAGCATAAATCAACCTATGCGATCTATAGTGCCTGCCCCTCCGGGTCTTTAAGGTATGAGGCTGTTTTCTCTAAATTGAAACATTTCTTAAGGAGGGAAGGAGGAAGGCTGGGGAAAGCTACAAGACAGTGGCTCCTTCCCCAAATTACATACGCAGGGAACAATTGCTGGAGGTCGGGGGCACTTCTGTGGTGTTGATGCCTACAAGCTGCAGGGAACTCCAGACATGCAACGTGGAATGGGCTCTTCCATGGTGCAGCTGCCTCTAAATCACCCATGTTCCTCTAAGTAACTCTAATAAATTCATTGGTCACCAAGGTAGACTTACATAAAACAATTCCTTCTGTCTGTTGTTGGGGCCCTACCTGGGGCAAACAGGCATCTGTGTGTGTGTGTGTGTGTGTGTGTGTGTGTGTGTGTGTGTGTGTGTATCCCCTCCTCCCAAGGTGTCATGCAACAGCACAGAGGGAAGAGCCCAGCAAGTAAGAACCTAGCAACAAAATGTAGCAACCTGAAGCCTCGCTGCAGAGTAATTTTTCCTCCCAGATGTCCTCACAGGTATGTTCATGGGCACAGATGTGTCTACCTGGATTCCAAAATTAGGATGGTGCAAATGCCAAGCCTGATGGCAAGACATTAAACCAACGGGACACGGCTAGCCACCTTGACATAATGGCATCTTGAGCGCCCGAGGCTGCTGGGCTTGCAGAACCAGTAGCTTGCAGCTCTAGGCTCCCACAAGAACCAGAGGCTGTGGCCGCAAGCTTTCAAAGCCCTGAGCTTTGATTGGCAGCAGCCTGGTACTCAACTGATGCTGCCACTCCTGAGTATTAGGTGTTGGGACCATCAGCTTTTAATCCTGGACAGCTCTCAGGGGAAGTGGAATTTTGGCCTTCCTATCTTCTCATCTTCAGTAGCCTCAGTTTTCTATAGTGTCTGCTCCAGGCCACCCTCTGAAATCCCACAACTGCCTTCTTGCTGCCTCTGAGTGGACAGCTGCAACCAGCCCAGCCCACTAGCAATAAAAGACCATTTGAAAGAAGCCTTTAATTTCCTGGGCCTAATGTTGAAATGTGACGGGGACATACAGGAGAAAGAGTCCCAGACCAGCCCCCAAAGCAGCAGGAAACAACCTGCTTAAACGGGCAGAAGAAAAGCATGGCACACTTGCACACTGATTATAATTCTGCCAACTGGTCCTTCCATATTACTGATCACAGTCCTCAGAAACTAGCCACAGGCTTCACATGAGAGCGATTGTAGACTGCCAGCTGAATAGCTGTGGGGAGTGCTTTCCCCTCCTAACCTGAGTGAGAACAGCCGTGAGGTGGGCAAGCAGCATCCGGGATTGTCTTTCCTGGAGTCTTCCAGACACAATGCACATTGCCCAGAGTGGTCTTGGCTGGCGGAAGCCCTCCTGAACCAGAGCTCTGTGGATTCAGCACCAGCCTTTCTTGCAACTGTATTGTAATTTCTGCAAGGTATGAAAAGCAGCTGGGACATCCTGACAGCCTGTGTATGGAAAGGCTGCTCCAGCCAGTCACAGCACTGCACACCTCGTAATCCCAAAACTCGGACACAGAGGCGGGTGGATCAGGATCGCTATGCAAGCTGAAGATTAGCCTGTGCTCCCCTAAGAGCCTAACTCAGAATAAAGAAGGTGAGGTAGGAGGAGTCAGCTCCATTAGCAGTCCCTCGATCAAGGCGGCCAGGCACAAGAGAAGACTCCGGCAGATATCCCGCTTAGAACAGAATGTAAAGATCACCTTCCTTTTGGGTAGCGAAGGTGGAGAGATAATCACCGTTGCTTTTGAACAGTTTGCTCCCAGAGTCACTGGTAAGACTAAGACAGACAGGTGGACACAGTTCTCTGTAAGGGCATTTGGCTTGGAGTTAAGCAGCTTTAAGTACTATCAAGACTGTTAGCGTCATTGTATAATCACCAGTTAGTGCTTACTTCTTCTTCAAATAAACTAAGCTACTGAGGGTCAGCCCTGTTGTACCATGGACTAAAGGGTATACTGTGTGACTTACTGTGTCACACATAGCTTCCACAGAGATTTTTCTTTTTTTTCCCCCTTTCTCTTAAATTTTATTTTATTTGAGGGGTGGAGGTTGCAAGGGTAGATGACAGATACCAAGGGACGGGGTGATGAATGGGATCGAGTGTATGATGTGAAATTCACAACAAATAAAAAGTTTTTTTTTAAAAAAAAGACCAAAACACCCATACCATCAGATCCGAGCCTCCCTGCCCCCCTCCTCTCTCTCTTTCACACACACACACACACACACACACACACACACACACACACACACACACACACACACGCCTTGAGGAGACAGCACTCCATTGCTTCTGTGGAGAGCCCTCACTAGTACACAAGGCCATCAGGAAGGTGCTCATATGTACTTCAAACACCAGCTCTGGCAGTGAGCTAGAGAAACTGCATTTCAAACAATCAATGCTCTGAAACAAAATACCCTCTGCCAGGGAAGCACAAGACTTGCTGTTTCACGGTCAGGCGTGTTAACAAGACAAAGCTGAGACCCATGATACACTGGGGTCCATTCTGGGCAGAGGTCGTATCACTATGCGTCAAAAAGGTCATTCGGTGTTAGGAGGGACACTGTGCAGTGGAGGAACCGAGTGGGCAGAAACTGGGAGTCTCACACTTCCTCCAGACAGAACCTTTCCTTTATCAGCCAGAAGCAGAGTGGATCAGTGATTCTCACAGACCTTCAGATCCCACAACTGACCTGGGAGTAAGGGACCAGGGCATCCTGCATCAGCAAGAGAAGGTGAAAAACTTGAGAACAGTAGTCCAAGAAGCTGTGCTTGTGTCGATGATGATGCTAAGCAACTCACAAGTGTGTTCGCCCGTGCAACTTCCTTCTCTTGCATTTGTGGGGGGGGGGTGCACATGTGTGTGGGTATGTGGGTAAGTAGGCAGTGTGTGGACTGTTTGTGAGTATCTTCCTCTATCTCCCTCCACCTTATTTTTGAGACAGGGTCTCTCACACATTCTCAAGCTCACTGATTGGCTAGACTGGTTGGCCAGGGATCTAATTGTCTCTACCCTCTCAACGCTGGGCTACAGGCATACACTGCTCAACTAGCTTTTATCATCCATGGAGGCCAGAGGTCAACGCCGTGTGTCTCCCTCCATCACTCTCCATTCTTTTAGACAGGGCCTCGCAGTGAGCCCAGAGCTCACCCATTAGCTGGACTGACTAGT